GGAGCTCCTCTGAATTTACCAGGACCGCGCAAAAACTGGGTGGTGAGTGACTTGCACCCAGCACGAATCGTCAGAGCCGCCTCATGTTCGATGATTCTATGTTTCTACAGCATCATTCCAAGGGTGGATTTCTGCCACATTCTGGTTGTAAATTCCAGATCGTTTCTGAGGCTTCCACTCTCAAAACAGCAGGCGCACACTTTTTCGATGGTGCGGTAATCGGTAAAGCGTTATGCATTTGGGTCCACTCAACCAGCCATTCAGAAACCAATCATCATCTTAAAAATAGAAAAGGCAGGATCTGTCTCCGTATGTCAAAACGCCAGTCGATCAACGCTCTGATCCACGTTCGTTCACCATCCTTCACCACACCGAGTTTCGATTGGCACCGAGTTTTGTATGGGTGTATACCTTGGGTATATCCCACTACCAGGGGCCCAGGATGATGGTTAGGTTCCAGGCCTTTCTCTAAAACAGTGATAATTGTTTACTAACTGTTACAGGAAATAGGACAGAACATGACAGAACCAATGTATACCGGTATTTTCTCTGCTGAGAAAAAAACGTAATCCAAGTCGACTGTTTCCAATCCACACTGCCAACACCTTCACCAACGACCTGGAGAAGAAACAAAGTGTCACATGTTTCCCATCCGACAGCGCATGATATTTCTCTGCGGCAAAACGGGGTTGACTTCGGCTACTACGCTGGCTGCGCCTGATCATTGAGGCGGCTCAGCGCAAACTCCAGCTTCGTCTTCAACTCTGCGAGCGCCTGTGGATCAAAAACGAAGCAGGGAGAACTCCATGGGGAGGACGGATAGAATCATACTCTTCCCAAGGACCTGCTTTAGAAGGTCTTTCACTCACTAAACCCACCCCGAACAGAAGGCACTTGGAGCCCTACAGCCTAATGATTGATTGGGCTTGTTGGAATCGATACCTGGATCTTCAAACGGCCTTTTTTTCTTTTTGCCGGAGGCCATTTTGTAAAACACACTTGCCGGAAATGATCAGGGTTGCAAACATGTGCTCAGCTCATCCATGGGCGGAAAACCATGCCGTTTGGACACCTAAAGATGCCGCTGGGACGCCTCAAAACGACGTTTCTTTTTGGTTTCTCACCTCGCCACCACAAAATTGGCCGGTGTCATGCCTTGTCACAACGAAACAAAAAGAACACCGTCTTTTGGAAAAGACGCCGTAAAGATCAGCTGATTGTTTTTCTGTTATTTTGAGTTTTCTCCATATCCTGGTATGTATATATCTTGCGGCAACGGATAAAAACCCCCCCACCTCCGTGGATTGGAACCTCTGGACGGGCTTTTGAGAAAACAATATATATATATATACGTACACTCCCTGGAGCAATCATGCTTACGTGGATGGCTGATGGCATGGCCAGCTTGAACGACAGTTCTTTTTGAAAATGCCATCCACTTCGATGTTGACTTGGAGAGTAATCGACCATGTCATTGAAATGGAGGAACTCTTTTGACTTCCCGAAGTTCAACTCCAGTTGCGGGGCAGGATGTCATTGGGTTTCAGCCCAAAAATGCTGAGTGTAGGAGCAAAAGTACCGGTTACCACTATCTTTCAGTACCACAGTTTTTTGGGGGTACTGGTCTTTTCACAGTGGATGCCTGGCCTTGTCACAGTAGAAGCCCCAATATCTCTAGCTGCTTTTGGGGATGTTATGCTCCACTGAGCTGCGCCAGTAGCAGGACTTCGTTGAGGTCGTGACGGTTTGGACGACTTCCCTCGGGTGATCTCACATCCGAAAAAGGAACATCTCCTGAAATGAAGGTGGAAGGAACGTGTACCTTCACATCATGGACATATTCTGATTAGATTCCTCGAACAACTCCAGACTGGTTGGTGGTTTCAACATAATATATATATAATTATACTAATCAGTTATCAATAATCTCATTTGAAGGTTGAGACATGTTGAGACAATCTCTGAAACCACAAAAAAACACCGATTCGATGCTTTTAGCATCGTAGCCGTGTGGCATCACCGGCCGGCTCCGTCCTCACCTCTTTGCTCTCACGCGCTCCATACTTGTTCACCGTCGACGGCCTCCGGGGCACGCGTTTTCGATCTGAGTGTCTCGAGACGCGTCCCTCAATGAATGCGCGAGTGCAAGGAACCATCAACAAATACAATCAACAAACGAACCAACAAACAAACAACGAGTTCAATCTTGATCATCGTCTCAGTGGGGCGGTAAACGTTTAATGCCGATTTATGTTACTTTGTGTGGTGTTTAAAGCATGCAGCATGCCTTTTATTTCAACGACTGGAAATGGATATTGCACTTTTCCTTGGAAAGACGCCGAGGCCACGGATCCCATGTTTGTCGGGACACTGAGGCCACGGGCCCAGGGGAGACCACCATCAATGGTCCTCACCTTGGAACGCGGATAGGAACGGGTGACCCGGATAGAACCAGTGGTTCAACGGATGGGAACGGTTCTTCCATGTTCTTCCAATATGTTCAAGACGGCGAAGGAACACTGTTCGTTCGGGGACCTCGAATGACCTCGTTCAAAGCGTCTAAGCATCTACCACTCAACCTCGCGGAACCGTGAATCATCCGCAGGGCGACTCCATCGAAGCACAGTCCGGAGCAGTTGGACTAAAACAAACTGGTTGGCACTGGTTGGTGGTTACCACAACTCGCAACCAAAAAATAGTGAGGACCTGTGGGATAAATATATAATACTATCCATGTAAGGTTGAAAACAAACACGGTATGTGAAAATACATGAAACATCTGAAACCACCACCGAGATAACAGTTCATCATCCCAAATCGGAGAATTGCGGCGTACAGGACGACGCAATGATGGTGGTAAGCTTGATAGCAGTAGGTTCTGGATGTCCCTCCCTCCAAATAGACGCAAGGGCTATCAAGGGCTTCCGGTTTTGAGACACACCCAAATGCACAACATGAAGACTAAGCCCAGGACGAAAGCTGGTCATGGCGCCATGCCCAGCATCAAGCTCAAGCTTGAATAATGAATTCTGTGCGTTTAATCTTGAAAAGCTTCAAGCTGAAATGGGTGTGGTGTGGCCTTTTTTTTGATGGGTTGGCTAACAGGCTAAATGAAACAAGATACGTATTCTTGTAATCATATCTGCTGTATGTTTGACAAGGAAACTAGAGTTGTCACTATAGTCACTAGTCTTTGTGGTATCTTCAAATGAAAATTATCCTGTAGGAAGAAGTCTTCCAACACATCGACTGTGTCTCTTGACAGTCGCAACTTGTTGAGATCTGAGTGGTGGCTGCTTCACACGCTTGGAACGGGGATCCAAAGACGTTCATCAAGAGTCAGGGTTCTCATCACATGGACCTGGTTAGGAACCATCCTCTTTGTCTCATCCTGTTGGCATCATGTGATCAAATCTTCAGATGGATCTTACTTTCAATGGAAGCCTAATAGCGATGGCCTCCAACCTAGTAGCGTTCTTGCTCCTAGTAGCGATGCCCTTTGTTCCTAGTAGCTTCTTGCTCCTAGTAGTATGGCCAGGAGCCCCTAGTAGCGTCTTTGCTCCTAGCGATGGCCTCCTTGCATCATGCAGCATCCACCATGCCGAGCCGCAACGCGACGCTGGCGACATTGTGCAACGAAAGCCGGCGACATGTGGAAGATTCGGTGGACCGGTACGTGGGGTGTACATGAAGACTGTATTATTCACTAAGAGCTCATGAACATGCCGGTGATGCCGCCCATGAAGGAAACCATCCAAGTAGTTCTGGTAGAACATGAATGAACATGTTAAAACGCAGGATGGACTGAAACTCTCACTGCTGGTCCATAACCAACCCCAGTTGCATGACAAACAGTTGTCGAAACGTTTTTGACTCATCCATTGCAAGTTTGCCCCAAAACCAGGCGAGTGTCGACGCTGCCCCATCACAGGTCGACTGTCTCGTGTGGTCAGAGGTGTCGCAGATGTGCCAGATGTTCACTGGAGCATCGAATCGTGAGAACACTCATTTACCAGGGTGGTTAATAATAATAGAAACCCCTTAATCTCTAAAGGGCTATTATTAGACACCCCCGAAAACGCGGAAACTTATGACTTATGACATCATGTTTCTATAAACACACAGTCACAGTCGCAATATACGCGTCATGCATTCCGAATCACATTGGAGTCATTGGAGTTCCAGAGTGTGTGAGCAACAGTTTTGTTGGAAGATGGTCAACATTGATGAACCAAGTACAAGATAGGGTCTATTGGAGATGTCAACTCACCAAGTCTATGGTCGGACGATTTCTGACACCCAGCGACACTCCCGGTCGGTGGCGACCGGTGCGTTCGCTCTTTGGGCCGGACCCCCCGTCGAACCGGCGACTCGACCTCTGTAAACGGCGACTCGACCTCTTTCGAAGCCCCCATGGTAGGGATACTCTGAGATCACCCTTCACCCAAGTTATGCGTATGGTCACTGGGAAGTCCAAGGACTATATATTGGCACACTGAAGGTTACAGGTCAAAGTCCAACGTTACCATCTTCAAACTCGTCCAACTGGACTCTGCAGGGTACTCTGCAGGGTATACTAATACGGTATACTAGGTATACGGTATACATACCTGGACCCTCCAAGGGGTGTCCTGGCTAAACTACCCCACACTCCCTGTAGGCATCCAAACAGGGCACCCCTTGGAGGGTCCTGGTATGTATACAGATATACAAAAAGAGTTCATTCGCAGAATCGGAGTACCACAGCACCCCAGAAGGATCGGTGCCTCTCGTCTGGTCGCCGGGGGTATTCAGCTCCCAAGATCCCGGGGTAGAGGAGGACCAACCGGAGGTCAAACCGGATCAGCAGGGAAAGGACTAGTGACTAGGATGATGATTGATGAGTCCATGTTTTATATGCTGCTAATCAAATCACCTGGAAACTGGAAGCTGATAGTTTCATTGGTCCTCATCACTCATCTGAGTCCGGTTGCAACGCCCCCTCCCCCTGCCGCCCTTTCTTCGCAGGAACCAATCGATTGTCAGGCTTCACACCAGCGCCGACGGTTGAGTTGCGCGGTACCGCTGTGACAAAGCTCGATCAGCACGTGTTCCCCCCGTCTGTTGCAGAGCGGGTGCCACCCTCCGACAGGAGAAGGAAGAGAAGGACGAACTACTCCAGATCCTTGAGGTCCTTAGATCCGGGTGGATCAATCGGGGCGGAGGTTCTTTAGACCCCAAACTGGAGTCAAACTCCGAGATACGGAAGAGGCTGCTGTGCTGAAAGAAACAGGGTGGTGTCGAACTGTCTTTAATTGTTTGTGTTTTTCTCCAGGACTCTCCAAGTAATGGAAGGTTGGTCAGGAGATGTCAAGAGATGGGATTTGGAACCCGAGTTCCTGACTAGTTAAGCTTGGCTGACCCTGAAAATCGGCTTTTGCAGGTTCGTGTTGTTGATCTACATCCCCCCACTCACCGGTCGATGACAAACATGGACATGGAGCGAACAAAAAAACAACGACCTGGTGGTTGGACTTGTGAACAACTACAGCGTTGGACGCGAAAGAAACTCTGGTTGGACGTTCGATTTTTAGATGACGCTCTTACGTGAAATCTCGGCGTTTAGCGAGACTTTTTGTGTTTTGTATGTGGTAGTTCGCGGCTGCTTCAAAGAGACCATGATTTTCGCTCAGAAACCTGTCCCGGTACAACTTACAACTGAGTCAACAAAAGAACGATTTAAGATCAGCAATGACAAGCCTCGTGCTCTGTCTTGCGCACCCACATCAGCTATGCACGTGTGCGCATGTGCGTGTGTGTGTGTGTGTGTGTCCTTATCCATGGACCCGATCTACCTATTATATATTCACAGCATTTTGCTAGCTGCTTCGACCACCAATTGATCTCACCATCAAGAGACGCGGTCTTCCAGCTTTTGTCAGCAGCCCAAAGGGGCACGCAACATAGTAATTAGCAATGGCCTCCAACCTAATAGCGATGGCCTCCAACCTAGTAGCAATGGCCTCCAACATCCTCCAACCTAATAGCTATTGCCTCCAACCTACTAGCAATGGGTTGCACCAAAGGGGCAAGCAAAATGAATCCCGAGGTTCCTGGGATGTGGACGTTAGTGATCTGCAGTAGATGCCAGTCAGCATATTATGTTTCTATTCCGGTGCAGTCTATGTAGACTGTTGCGAAAACCCTCCACATGGAGGTGTAAGACCATATTCATCATTTGAAATCAACAGTCTGCATTAAGATGTTCCAAAATCATCCAAAAGCCCGGTGTTTTTTTGCAAACCCAGGTGCTCTGGGGCGAACTGGTTCCACACAGGCACCCTCTCTTCCCAGCACCACGCTGGCCACGGCATGACCCTTCTTGCAGGCGTCCACAATGGCCTGGACCGCGGAAAACCACGGCGCCCTGTTTGAAATGAAAGGATTCCAATCCACCAGATCTTGGAGTCATGTGTTGCCGAGGAGCGGAGACATGCGGAGTCGCTGCGACTGGCACATGTGGCTGGTTGGTGGTTTCAACAGAAGAAACTGGATGTCAGTGGCTTCAATCATCCCATGTATTAGGTTGAACGTGAAACATCTATCCGAAACCGCCACGTAGTACGTGATGCTCCAACAAATCCGATCGTTGACCCTCCCATAAGATCCGGGCCTTCTGTTCTGCCTCGGACCGCTTGGGCGCGGCGTGCGGCAGCCAGGAAGACAAAAAGCCCGCAATGAAGGCGTCCCCTGCGCCAGTGGTGTCCACGACTCCTAGGTGGCGAGGTAAGAGATGAATGAACTGGCCAGCGGATTTTGAGGAGCAAAATGGAGTGATTTTGCACATGACTTAGTAACATACAGTGCATGCAGTATTTGAAGAGTGGTGTGTCAAGGAATTGAAACCTTCATGAAACCGTTAAGATTTCTGACCCTTCAAGAGTATGCTTTTGGACGATAGAGGGCACTAACTATAGCAAATCTCCTTAGATAAGGAAGCGGCATTTGGCCGTTCTCTCTATTTTCTGTGGGACAGACTGCCCCGAAAAAGGAACTCCATGGTCACATTTCCCTAGTTCGAGTCTAAGAAAGGGTCACCTTCAAGAAGAAGCGTCCAGCAGAATCCATTCTACCCTTTGGGCTCCGTAACTCGGTTCGATGGGACAGGGGTGGGTGTTAGGGGGGTTCTTACCTTTGTCTAACCCACTTTCGATATGGGACAGGAGCCCTCAAGTCTCATGTCGTTCAGTGGCTGGTTTGCTTGGCTGGCACGTAGACCGCAGGCATCTGGTGCCGGTAGGCCGTGCAGCCGTGGGAGCCTTGCGTGATCACCTCAGGCAGCGTGATCTGCGCCATTCGCGAGTCGGAAGGCAGCGTGTCATTAGTGAAACTGCGATTTGGTGATGACAGGACGTGTCAGGGACTTTAAACAAAGAAGAACAAAAGAAAACAAAAAACAACTACACCTCTCCATTCCAAGGTTTAGGGTCCATGATGACCCCATGTGTTTGGCTCTTTATCGACTTCTTCGACTTCTAGCGAAGTCGGACGGAGCTGCACGACTTCTGAAGGGAAAACACACAATTCAATTCTTGTTGCTAAAGCCCATGCACTATACTGTGTTCACCATGTCCACACGAGGATGACGCTGCCCGCCAAGGCTGGGACCACCATCAACTCGGGGTAGCGTTTGCACCTGGGCAGCGATAGAGCCGAGGCAACGGTGGGTGAGGAACGTGGTTTGACCAGCCTCTAATAGCAAAAGGAGCCTAATAGCCAATCGCCTCCAACCTAGAATAGACTTATACTGACTTATACTTTATGATTATAATATGTCATAAGATATCATAAGACTGTTGATGGTCATGTGTTGCTCAAAACGTTGCCAAGAGGGATAAAATGGTTACCCTAATGTAGACCGTTGATGATTACATATAACATGTCAAGAACCGTATAAATATAAACCTCCTGATCCTTCAGACAGTCTTATACAAACCAGTTGACTCATATACAATACTCCAGGCTTAAAAACTCACAGGATTTTGCTTCGAACAGCGCAGCACTTGGATCGTAGGAGCGATCCATCTTGAGGATCCAGAGAGTCCTAGGAACCCAACATCTCTATATACATGCTAAAATTGTTCCACCAAAACCATTGTTCTTGGGCCAGAGGTAGACTGAACAAACATCACCGTGTTGGGGTCTAATGCACATTGCCCCTTCAAAGAACCTCACAGAGTCCTCAGGTGGACTTCTCCAGAAATGTTCATTGTTTTTTCACGAACGAATCCGGTCGTGCACGGACTCTGCACGGACCATTTTGTTGTTTGGTTTGTTTCAGCAATTTGTTCCAACTTTGGTGGAGTTTTCCCCCTGCGAGGAAATAGTGCCCACAGAGTCGCTCCAGTCCAATAGCGGAAAGCGCTTTGTTCTGTCTTTGGATATGTGTTTGAACTCCCCAGCCGCCCCAGAAATAAACATATATAAACAAATTCAAACATCCCAGTTCATCGGAACTCTGGATTGATTCAAACATTGGGTGCGAAAACAACCCCCCTTGTTGAGTCGTGGCAAGATGTTGTTGTAGGGACCCGCATGGTGGCTCAGTCCGTCAGCCCCGCGTTTCTTCCAAGAGTGCCCCAAGCGGGGGTTGATCCAAGCCTTTGAGCCACAAATCCGCCACGACGCTGCAGCAAGGTTCCACCGTCCGGCCCGAAGCCCGCGGCCCATCCGCCCGTCCGTCGTTGTCTTCAATCCAAAGCGGCAGCGCTGAGATGGATCGGTCGGAGTCTGGGCAAAGGGCGGCGCAAATGTGTTCACCCTCCGAAGCGTTCACCTGAAAAGGCAGGTGGATATGTTTTTTGGTGTGTCGGAGCTGGTGGATGGTCAAACTGCACTCATTGCACCAAACGAACTTCAATGCTGTGAAGTGAACCATACTGTCTTGCAAAGTGGAATCGAAAAAGGAGTTCAAAGGACCTGACTACCACCGGCCCACGGGTTTGTTCACCTCTAAAGGACAAACGAACCTTTTTATCCTTTTTGTCACCCAGTGGCGAACAAAAGATCCACATGGTCCAGGAAGGATGCCAGGTGGTTATCTTCTCCACACCAGTGGCCGTTGGAACAAGCCCTCAGCTCAACACTACCGGTCGCATTTCGTTGCGGTGCGAAACGGGGAGTCGAAGGAGTGGTGCTTCGGGTGCCTGTATAGACCGAGTCCAAGTCAGACTTGGAAGATTCCAAGCCTTTCATCGCATGGGTCAAAACGAAGTCACTTAAAGTGATCGGTCACCCTGAGAGGCGATTTGGATCAATGCACTGCATATGTAGTGATAAACATATCCTGACAAATGCTGCCTGGCACGTGCGCTGACGCAATGTTCTGACAATTGTTCTGCCATTTGTTCCGACATGAGTTCTGACACGTGTTCCGACATTGGTTTTGGTATGTCCTTTGACATATATGTTCTGGAATTATTATGTCTGACAAGTGTGCCGACATTGTCCTGATATGTGTTCTGGCATGTATCTTGACATCCTTTCTGACATTTGTGCTGGCACAAAGTACGGCATGTCTGACAGTCTGACATGTCTTCTGTCACCAAAAGTGTCTCAAAGTTCTTCCGCCTGGACGTCCAGCACGCACCACTCTCGCAGCCCACTGGGAGGGAAGAAGAACACGGACGTCATAAAAGCTTGAGATGGCACACAATAGTCAGGTGAGTTGTCATTTTGAGAACAACGACTATATACATATATATATACACATCTTAGAATATCTTAGAATATATAGAATATGGAAGACTGACAACCCCCCGCCTGGTTAGAGGCAAGTCACCTGTTCCGCCTGTTCCCCCAATTCTGGCAGTTTGCACACCCGTGCGTAATTGGAGAAGAAGAAACTGTGTAGGAGCGCTCCTCTCAGGATTCGTCAGGTTTCATGAATTTGTTGGAGAGCCGGAAGGAACAGGATTAGGGAAACAGTTGCAGTGATCTTGGTCAAAACACAATATATCAGAAAACAAGTGCATGGCTTGTGCACCGACTTGAGTCTTGGATCAGGTCCAGGAATCTGGTGACATCGCTAACAAGTGGACAGAAACTGAAAACAACTGGACTTCATGGGGGAACCAGGTTGCCGGACACACCCAGGTTCCGAGCAAGCCGAGTGATTCGGAACACGGCCAACTCAGTGGAGCGACACTGGTTTGGAGGTTTGATCAGCCCCCCCAGCTGTGAGCGGACTGGAGGTGGCCTCCAACGTAAGAGAAATGGCCTCCAACCTAGAAGCGATGGCTTCCAACCTACTGATGGCCTCCAACCTAAGAGCAATGGCCTCCAACCTAATAGCATCTATATAATAGCGATTGCATCCAACCTTTTTGCTGATTTGGAGGTGGCAAATCTCTGCACAACTCTGCCAGATTCTGTCTCTCCTCAGGGGCGACCGTCTCAGCAAGACTGTCTCTCCCGTCCGACAAGTCATCCCTGTGTGTCCAAGCAACTGAGAGTTCAAGGAGATTGTCCACTGTTTGCTTCGCTTTGCGTCAGCCACGAACTGAGTGAAGTCATGGCTTTGCAATCCTGCCAGGACCCGCCCAAGCGGCAAGAACTGAGAAGAGCTACATAAGTTACATAAGCCTAGCCCCGTGGCTGGCAAATGAAGGCCAAAAGGCTTTTCACTCACCAATCCCCGGGTTTGGAATGATAAAAGTGTTGGTCTTTCATGCCTCGTTCTTTGATCCAATCAGGAACACCGGTCATCGTGGGCGAAGGCATGACCAAACACCGTGCCAAACCATTGGCACCTAGCACTGCCTAGCAATCAGTTTTGTTCCTCAGATGGGTCAAGAATCAAGAACATCGCTCTTAGGATGGAGGCCACCACTAGTAAATTGGAGGCCATGACCCTGGCTATTCAGTTGGGGGGCAAAACGGCCTAACACAAATTCCTCAAACCCAGTCAAACCCCCACTTCTTCTCATGAAAATGCCAAGCGTTCGTCGATCGGTTCTGTTCGAGTCGACTCGCACCCCTTCTTTCAAGGTCCTTTCATGTTGAAGTAGCCGCCCAAGTGAAAGTGAGTGCAATCCTCCAGCTTGTGAGCCTACAACGTGAGACACATGACGGGGAAAAAGAACCAAAAGCATCCGGGATTGTATCGCACAGAACAATTTATCCAAGCAACATTTGGCCAGGGTGCACCCCAGGGACATTCAGGTCTAAACATCCTAGAAACAAAACATAGAACCAATAAACAGTGGACTGCGGATCATCTGTGGTATACCCAAACGTGCTGGTGGTAAACACTGGCGGAACCAAATAGAACGAGAGCCTCTCCTCACTGCCTATGAACTCAAGGGGGGGGTGGGTGGTAAGGCCCTCCCCTCTCACAGCCGCACCTCTAGCTAGATAAGACGGTCCCTTTAGCTAGATCCGTTCCCAAACGGTCCGGACCGGTGGACCGTTTGACGGTCCTCCAGTCCGTGAAAACCCGTCATCCACCGTCGACTCGAGACCGAAACCCGCCAAAGAACCACCTGCCATGACGTCTCTTCCCATACCCAACCAAAGAAACAAACCGTAAAATTCATGGTTAATTCAGGTGATATAGTTCAATATCATTTCGAATACATTCGACTTATCCAATAAAAACACTTACAGTAACATGGAAGAACTATCTATTTTAATATCAGACTTCATAGGTCGGCTCGGCTCTCTCGCCTGCTCCTGAAGGTCTCGTTCAGTGAAGGCGTCCGTGGTGCTGTAGCAGCTCACAAAGGCGCGATCTGCCGGGCCCGACAGGACGATGCACACCTGACAACACGACGCAGGTCGGGCGGTCGGTGTGTTTGTTCGGAGGCAACAAGGGACACAAAAACAAATTTAGAAACAACTGGAGGTATGGAATGATATGGAGGTATGTAAATTGTCGATAAAAATGTAATCCATGAAAAGAAACACACAAACTCCCACAAACTCGCACTCACTCAAGTTCAGAGTCACCAGTCAGTCACTCCAACTTGTAGTTGTCCAAGTTCCCAAAGGTCCTCCTTTTTTGGGCGTGTCCAAAAAAGTGATCTTCCACTGGTTAACCAGTGGAGAACCGTGTGATTTCGCGCCGAACACACGCGTTGCCGGGATGGTAGAGACGATCTTTTTGGTGAAGATGATGGGATCCGTGGCTTTCAGGATCTACTCTGGGGATTTCATGGGTCGCCCTCTCCAGCCCAAACTGATGTGACTGGCCCCGAGTTCGGATGACCATGAAGTCCAAATACCAAACAGGGTGCCATCCGCGTAACCCATGGGCGCAAAACGAGATCAACCTGCCAAGGCCAGGCAAACAGTGCAAGCAGCTGTGGCGTTCTTTGGATGCAGCCGGCCAGTCAGAGCTTGGCGCCACTCTTTTCAGGGCAAAAAAATCCGCACCGGAGGTGCCGAGGGCGTTGTGTAGGCTCGTGTAAATCGCAAGCAGTCCGGCTAGATAAATCCCAAGCTTTAGCCTGGGGGGGGGGCGCATTTGTGTCCTAGAAATGCTGTGCTTTTCAATGTTTTTTGAAAATTGACCAAAATTGAACCAGACGTTGGCGATGCAGGTTATGCCGGTTGGGACAGATCGCATTATTGACATCGCAGACGTCTCGGCAAGCCAAGGGGCACTGCACTATGGATATGCGATGCCGGTTATGCCGGCCGGGGGAGACTGCATTATGGACATCGCAGAAATTGCAAACGTCTAGGCAAACCGCGGGACACTGTACGATTGATATCGTGGATGTGTTCGGTCGTGTGCCCAGTCCGACTGGATGAGGTGAATGGTATTGAGCATGTGGCTTTTGATGTTTTTTGCGGGGAACAATCGCATATGCGGAGCTGCGCGCCGCATTTTCGTCAACACAACGGAGCTGCACGGATGGTCCCGCAGCATCACACCTTATCAGAATGGCGGGGCGTCGGAGATCGTGCGATAAGTGTTGCGATTGTTTTCTATGCTGAGGACGTGGCCCATAGAGAATTGTGCCTAGGACGGAGCAAGCAAAGCAACGGCATGAGAACATGCATTCCGTGACTACCTCACAGCTCCCACATCTGTCTTTTGCGCCGTCCGTCTCTCTTTTCGGCTTCCTCGACTGAGCCCCTGGCCCCCTGCACGCGCTCCAGTTGCTGTGGCGCACCAACGTCATGAAGTCGTTGTCCCTAGCACAAGAAAATCACAGCAACTCACAACCACACAGTGTTGGATCACTACACGTACCGCTAGATAACCTTTAGAAACGTGCAGCCATCCACCCTTTGAAGCTTTGCGTGAAATTATATGGGTGTGGAAGACGTATAGCATATAGCATGTTTGTATTTTCTCTCTTTCTCAAAGATGTATTCATTCACACCTGCACGAAGCTACAACACATCGGCATCTGTAAAACTACACCTTGCCATTCAGATGATGCAAATGATGCTAATTGCATTTCTTGCATCACCACCCCCTCAAAAAACACATAGAATCACCTCCAAAACAACTTCAAAAACCTTACATCACCGAAATTAGAATTTACGTAGCCCTTTCTCGGGCCACCCCTCAACACCCCCGACTTATTCACTTCGCTCGCCTTCTACGAAAGCTCGCTTTGGCAAAAAAGTGGCTCCGCGCCTGCTCAACTAAGCCCCTGGCCCACTGCATGCGCTCCGCCCACAACCATCAGATGACCCCTCCCCCTTCTGACTGCTTCTTCACACTCGAGCCCGCTATCCCAACAACACTTTCCCGGCTCCGACCGCACAGGTTCCTGCGGACCAATCTCGCTTTCGTAAAAACGATGCTCTGTGCCTGCTCAACTACGCCCCTGGCCCACACCATGCGCTCCGCCCACCCAGAACCATTGGTCCTGAATATTAACCTTTACGCCTTGAAACATAAACTCTCTCAAATGACTGTACCTTCTGACTGCTTCCTCACACTCGCGCGCCAGACAACACTTTCCCGGCTCCGAGAGCACAGGTTGCGATCTGTGCAGGCGGCTTCGACCGCGAAGCGGTGAATATTATCTGAGGTACCCCCCCTTCAGTATAGATCAGGTAATAGAAAACGTTCACGCAACATAAAGAGGCCAGGCACGTTGTTGGGACCCAAGCTGGGCGCCACCGTTTGGAGCATTTTTACAATGAAAAGTAAAGGCAGTGTTTAGACATCAATGCCATCTGCATCTATATAGGGGTTTCCGATATGTGTTTTTTGGGTGTGGTTTTTCTATGCATATATGGATTCAACAAAAACCAAACACCCCAAAAAATATCAACGGCCAAGTTCGCCAAGGCTTCGCCTCCCTTTGTCCAAGACACTGAAGAAGGCAAGTTGCTGAAGGTCTTGATGGAGTCAGTGGGAAAGCCTCCAAACACCGCTCGGAGATATCGATGTTTGACAGTAGGGGATCTCCCAAGTACTGTTCTGATTCTGGGCCAGCTATGGTTCCTGTGAAAGAAGGCTGGACCTCACGTGAGGAAGCGATCATTTGGGAGATCTACAGATCCAGCGAACTGAGTCCAATGGAAAGGAATCCCGGATGAAGTGGAAACGGATCATGGGCGATCTATCCTCAACCGACTGTGAATATTTCTGCAGAGATGGAACTACATTGGCAAAATCAGGCGCAAAAAGCTAGAGTTCAACAACTGGATGCACTGAGGTGCAGATTTTTGTTCAGGCCTGCGACTCAGTGCAGTTACCTGCCATAAGAAAGACCAGGTCTAGGACCCCCCATTGGATCAAAGCTCTTTGAGCAGTTCTCGCTTTTGTCGAGGTACGCAAGTGGATGGTCCCTTCAGCGGACCACATGGACCCACAAAAGCCACTTCGCCACTGGCGTGGTCGAAGACGCAAGTGGTCGAAGTCACAGTGTGGTCTGTCTGCGGAGTGCGGGGTTGTTACAAGGGAAAGAAAACACTGGCCACAGCCTCTAGCCGCGCCCCTGAAGCCTGTGTCCGGGCTCCTGGTGCCCTCTTGCTGTCCGCTAGGCGCGCTGGCCCTCCTTGTTTTTCTTGGTGTCCTTGTGCTATCCTCCTGCTGTCCTCTGCCTCTGATCACGCTGTGTCCTCCTCTTGTCCTCTTGGTGTCCTCCTGATGGCGAACTCTGTGTCGTCCTCTTGTTCCCCAAACAAAAAAAAGAAGCGGTTGGCCATGATAGCTGTGGCCGCGCCGTGGGCTGTCTTGTCTGCCCTATTGTCCGGGGCTTGTGAAGGCCTTGTCCGCTGCGCTTGTCCAGGCTTTGTGCGGGTCTGCTTGGCCGTGCCGTCTTGTCCAGACCTTGTCCGGGTCTGTCTGTCCTGCTTGTCCGCGTTGTCGGATTGTTTACCACCGTCTAGTCCAGCCCTTGTCCCCTGCTTGGCCACGCCGCTTTTCCTTTCTCCACCGCCTTGTCCGGGTATGTTTTTGTGTACAGTGGTGCAGCTTTCCAAATTTGACATCATCCTCAGATTTTCTCATGACACATATATATATATATATATGAATATCCCCTCATTTTCGCACATGTGAGCCGGAATCAGGAATCTTCTATAGGAATATGATTAATTATTACAAACATTACCACCAACGTTGGAATTCAACTAGTTGATGCAACAAAATAATGCTGCAACTGTTTGGGGTCTCTGCTGGTGTTGGTTCTTTCCCGTCGACGTTGGATTTGGATTATGCGCGATCCGGCGGTCCAGGTCCAAGATGTATCCACAAAAATCAGTGGTCGTTAGGTTCTTGGTTTCAATTGAACTTCACGAAGGAGTCAATGGGATCAATCATCCCAAAGCTTAAACATCAAATATCTGAAACCACCACCCAGATATACCCAGATCCCCTCTCCAAAGCTTAAGCCCCGATCCCCGATCCACTCGATCCACTCTGGACAAGCCTTGCCCAGAGACCTGCTCCAGGAGCGCGTGGCCGATGGCATCTTTCCCGACCTCACGTCTTATCGTTGACACGTCACGTCACAGGCAGTTTCTGAGGGCAAACACTCCGTGTTATCTCCGTGTTATCTACGCATGTGATCTACACTGACCCTGAGGTTTCAGCTCAAAATCAGATTGTTGAACAATGGAGTAGAACTGTTTGCTCTACCACGTGTTTTTGTGCTTTGTCACAGTCTCATTTGCCCTTGATCATTATAATATGTATTTTGTTTTATAGTTCTCATGGTGTTACTGTGCCTTGTTATTCTTCAGTGCAGTGACACCACCAAGTTCTGCCATGTTTTCTAGCGGTAGCCCATATTGGGTCACGGTGGCCAGACCATACTTTCTCCTTCTGCACGGTTCCCGCTCCGTCTCCTGTTTTGGACATGCAGCTTCGTGAAGCAATCCTCAAGAGCCAAGAAACCTGTCATAAGGCACCTATTAGGTGAGCCTAAGAGTCATCTCCTCTTACCTCCTCATGTCCATAGCATGGTCAACGTTGTGGTTCCAAATGGTTCCAAGCTAGGTGGTGCAGGATTTGTATTGGACAACTTTAATCTTTGGGGCATCAAAACACACAAGCCAATAGCAAAATTCAGGGTTCGATGAAGGACAGAAAAGATAGAAAAGATCAAAAAAGTGCTACATGATTTCCTCCATCAACAGTATGCTCTGAACATGTCAAGCCTTATCACTTTTTTTTTACAGCAATTTGTTATCGATTGAAGTGAATGAAGCACCTTCAGGTTGAAAGTTTCATGCGTGCCCTACTACCAAGTTGATGTTCCAAGAATAGTTCCACCCAAATTTCAGCCCCACTTCCGCAGCTTCTTGAGTGTTCTCACCCTTAATACTAAACTCTAAAATACGGCTTTGGAAGAGGCAACTGGTGAGCTTACTAGACTCTGCCGCCGGCCGGACTCACAGACCGACGGCACCGCTTTTGCGTGGACGAGGTGCCGCCCCAACGAAGCGCACCGGGACGCCGAGGGAGTGCAGCTGGCGACCCTGGTTCAGCGCACTGCCTCCTGGCGCGACCGGGACAAGCGCGGGCGCGAGGTCCCAGGACAGGTGAGCCGAAGGGAAGGGATGGGAAGGTCGCTTGAGAGACACATGGGACAAAAGATGACAAACTCTAAGAAATTACTATATAATATGTACATACGATATGATGTGATCTCTATTGTACAGATTCATATAGATCAACTTTTTGGCAACATGCTAGCGGCTAGCTAGCGGTGGCCGCCGCTGGTATGGCCAACTGGCTGGTGGGCCGCTTCATTGAAGAAATCGTGCTATGAATTTAAACAACCACATAAACCACAGATCGACCTTTGGGAAGACAAGCTGCATCAAGTCAAATGTCTGCAATGAACAAACAATAGGAACACATGAACAGGAAAGTAAGAACCCGAGACTCGAGAGTCGTGAACACCAGTCCAAACAAAATCAGCCCAAGTTTCAACAAACGTTACGACTCGATATCGTTCCCTTCATCAATTTTACGCCTGTTCAAAAAACCATGACTTACGTTAAGTTCAATTATGATTGGAACAACGCTCAATAGGAGGTTTGCATGCTTTTCCCCCTCTGAACATGGTCCACAGACGTCATATCACGCATGATCCCGCCATCTACTTGCGATTTGGTGCATCGGGGGCTGAGACACCGGAGCAGCGCAGCAGGGCACATCCCGTTCTCACATCCCGTCCCCCGTCCTGGCACCATCTTGACGCTCTCGGCCTCTACATCTGAGTCCTTACGCAAAACAAACATTGACAGGATTTGGTTCGGTTCCCTGTGTAGAGCTCCCTCCCAGCCCTTCAAATCAGAATCCTTCCCCGCCTAATCAGCCACAAGTCCCTTGGGGTCGGTTTTTTCAGAAAAAAACCTCCGCGCCATCCAACCGGCTCGACTCCGGGGCGCCATCCAACCGGTCCAACGGCTCCAACGGCTCCGCTCCGGTAACCGTGCTTGGACCGAGCGACCCACACGGGGAGCTTCTTGATCGGTGCCATGATGTCCATGAAGATGTCTCCACACACGGCCACACAGGGCCGGCGGACGGTCTGGCAAGCGGAAGCGCTCCTGGCACAAGCTGGAGACTGCCTGTGACAAAGAATTGACGGTCGGAATTTGCTCCACATCGGTCCAAGAATACCACACGAAAAGCTCGGAACATGAAAAGCTCGGTTAAAGGAAACATTCTGGGATTCGTCAATTTCAGAGAAGTTCTTCTTTGATCACCATTTTGATAAAGTTATCCAATCACCTCTGAGTCTCTGAGGTTCGGGCTTATACGATCCATTTACCAACTACATAATTAGGGTACGTTCCATAGAGTAGATTAAAAATTAATGTATGGGTATGTGGTTTAATAAACATGTATTCACATATCATCACACACATATATATATATAATCATGTTATCTGAATCCTACAGAAGGTTGCCACACAATATCACACAATAGCTTTAGCATGGTTTTGCTGGGGCAAGCAAGGAGCCCCTGGAGCTTTTCAGCCTTGTCGCCTACGGAACATGCACTTCAAAGCATCGAGAAGTGCACGTGCGTTCAACGCATCCCCGGTGAAACCAACAAAGATGCAATTTGAATAGGGTCATCTGCCTCAGCGAAGCGATGGGGAACGACTTTTGAGGAGAAGGTCGCAACTCAGATTGACCTTGCGAAGCTGCATATGTTGTGAGCTGTGATGTTTGCATTGTCTTTTCTTGAATGGGTCCTGAGTCCATGGGTGCGGATTAGGGCCCAAATCACGTGGCGAGGGGTCCAGAAAATGGAAGGATGACTTGCAGCTTCCAAGGAATGTGGTTTTTCATTTAGAGATTCTAGGCTCAGGATTTCTTCAACGGCACCAGGATCAGCTGACCTCCACCTATGAATTTCGTCAGGCTGACTGGAATACCAAACAGCGTTGATCTCGAAAATGTGTCTTTTTCTCGAAAAGGAGAAGAACACTGACCAATTTAGTTGGTCCAGCTACATTCAGATGTTTGCTTGCCCGCGTGTTCACCCTCTTCATGCGAAAAAAATCAGGTTCAAACTGCACATAGTTTTGGGAAACCATCCCTAGGACTTTTCTTCCATCCAAGCTGGCCCAGTTCACCGCAAGCTCGTTCGAACACGGCTCTTCATTGGTCGAGGATTGAGGGAACCTATGAGTTTCTCCATGGCATTCTTGGATTTGCTTCCGGAACCGGAAAAATCTATAACATATATCAACACATCTTCACCAGAAGTGGATTAATACATCATCCTGAAGCAAAACCAGGCAAAACCAGCGTCCTGGTCCTGGACGTGGAGATGCAGCTCTTGGTATCGGAGTGATACAGCGGACGTCCCTGACGACCAACAGTCAGTCGACCGTGGAGCGATGGAACCGCCATGAACCCGGACTTTCGGAGCAAACAACGAGTCACGTTTTGTTGCTGTGGTGATTGCTTTTTGAGAGTTCACAATCCAATATTGCATTACAGCTTGCTTTACATTTTCGTCCTTTACAACTGATCTTGATTTTCCACATGCGGGAAAGCGCTTGCATCCCAACAAGAAGCTGAGCAGCCTTCCTTCTCAAAGGCATGCTGGATTCAGTGAGGAACCGTCGCAGTTGCCAGTGCGACACGTAGCTATATATAGCTTTGATGTTGTTTCATCATCGAATACTTAATAGGTTGTACCATCCAAATGGGGGGGAGGTTTGATACATCCAGAGTCTACAATGATCGTTTTTGTTGCCTCAGCTTACCGACCAAAGGAGCACGCCGCGGTTTCTCGCCCCCCGCGGACCCGGTTGCCACTGATCGTCCATGGACAGGTTCCGCGTGTCGTTTGAGTCACGAAGGGCACGGGAGGTGACCGGTTTGTACGATCGTGATGCAAATCAACGAATGCAATCAACGAACGCGATCGATCTGAGTCACTTGAAGACAACCGAACTGTTGAAGTCTCTGTTGAGTTCGTTTTGCTCTTACATGCTGAGCCTTGATGAACAAACTGTTTTAAGGTGTTTTGGTGTGCCATGCCAGGGCCATGAGCAAGGAATTCACATTGTAGTACAACCTCCACTGAGACAAACTATGTCAGGCAGTTGCCGAATCCTGTTTTCAAAACTCCTACTGACCCTTGCCTTTCTCCCTTTCTCATGTGTCCCACCACCAGCCCCAACCTGCAAGTGCCACAGCCCTGCGGAGACAGCGGAGACCAAGCGAAAGCTCGTTCCGAGGCGTGCCATCGCCGCGAGTGACACGATGGTGACACCACGGAGGCACGGCTCGACACGGCCGATGCTAGCACCCTGAACATTTATTATGTGTGTCTATGAAGTGTATATAGGGTTATTTAGTGTTCGTCATGTTTTCATGATACAGTCTTGATAACTCTTGATAAGACTTGTGTCCTGCGTCTTTCACTAAACCATAAAGAAACTCATACCACATCATCCTGTCTCATTGATTGATATTGATTGTTGATTC